GTCTGCTATATTCGTTCTCTATCTAACTTGTTACATGCGGTAGTTATATATGTTGTTGTACTGTTTATGGTGTAGACTCTTTTATTTTTTTATCAATTACTTGCTACCATGGTTAATTCTGTGCCTGAAACATCTTCGTCCACTACGTATACTCTTGAGCCTTCTAGCCCGTTGTTTCTTCTTCCTTTTGATGTCCCTGGCATTTCCCTTATTCCTGTGCCATTCTCGGGGACTGGTTTTGGAAGATGGAGACGTAGTATGATTGTGTCGTTATCTGCAAGAAATAAAATAGGGTTCATAGATGGGTCTTGTGCTAAACCTGCCAAGAATTCTCCTTAATATAGGCAGTGGGATAGGTGCAATAATATGGTCATATCATGGTTAACTAGCTCATTATCACCGGATATAGCTGAGAGTGTGCAGTATTCCGAGACTGTTGAATGTATCTGGTTGCAATTGAATAATAGATAAGATATGGGAGTGTTAATAGAACCAAAGTTTTTGAAATAAAGAGAGAACTTGCTTCTACTTTCCAAGGGACTCTCGATATTGCTTCATATTTCAACAAACTTAACAAAACTATGGGATGAATTGGGGATTATGTGCAGTAGTCATGCAAATTCTTGTGTTTGTGCTGCTAGGTGGGTCTCTAAAAAGAGAAGGAAGAGGATAAGGTTGATCAATTTCTCATGGGTCTTAATGAGGTCTACATAGGGGTTAGAAGCAACATTTTGATGATGCAGCCAGTTCCATCCCTTGATACTGTCTATAACATCCTGTTGCAAGATGAAAAACAGACACAGGTTATCCCCAACACTCAGTTCAACTCAGAATCAGCTTCTTTTAATGCAAATTTCAACAAGCTTTCCCCTTAATTTCCACCTCAAGAGCAGTATACACAAAGAGTCAATTTTGATCAAAATGGCTAAAAGGTGAACTTTGATCAAACCAAGGTTTCTCTGCCTTGCAAGTATTGTAAAAAACCTGGTCACACAATTGAAAAATGTTACAAATTATATGGATTTCCTCCAAATTTCAAATTTACAAAGGGGCAGTCTAAAAGATTTGGTACTGCTGCAAGTGTTGAGGGGCAGTCTTCTGGGATTTCTGAACCTCCTTCATCATATTCTTCACCTGGGCAAGACTCTTTGGTTCCTGGCCTGACCAAGGAGCAGGACACTCAGTTGATGAACCTGCTCCAACAGTTTACACTGGGTGAATCTAGTTCTCAGCCAATTCTCATGGGCTCTGCCAATTTTGCTGGTATTAATTCTTCTTCCCCTGTGTGTTTGAATGGTAGTTCTACTATGCGCATGTTAACTAGTGTAGCTGTAAGGGTTTGGATAGTGGATTCTAGGGCAACTAACCATATTAATTCTAACAAAAATCTTCTCTTTAACATCACACCTCTTCCTGTCCCCTATCTAGTTTCTCTACCTAATGGTTACAAGGTTTAAGGTTACTTGCACATGCTCTTTAACTTTGTTGCCATCTTTTACCTTTCATCATGTCTTGTACATTCCTACTTTCCATTATAATTTGATTTCTGTGAGCAAATTGATTATCCAGTTCAATTGTAATGTACTATTCACTTCCTTCTCATGTATACTTCTACAGGCCCATTCTATGAAGAAGCTTCTGGAGCTTGGTAGAATGGACTAAGGACTATACAAGCTCTACCTTGATCATTTTGCTCCTTCTGATCTCTCTAATTCTGTTGTCCCTGATATTGATAATTCTGTTTCTGCTTTTAATAATGTGGTACAAAATGCTGATTTTTCATTGCATGCAAATCAACTAGTTATGAATTCAAATTTTGCTGCTCCTTTATCATCTTGTATTGTTCAGCAAACTGTGAATAAAAATGATGTCCTTTGGCATCATAGATTAGGACATGTTCCTTTTGTGCAAATGAAAAATATACCTTGTATTTCTAATGACCTGTCAGCTAAACAATCTTTTACATGTTCTATTTGTCCCTTGGCTAGACAACCTAGGTTACCTTTCCCAGATAGCTCTTCTTAGTCTACCTCTTTGTTCCAACTTATTCACGTTGATACTTGGGGATCTTACCACACTCAATCATATTCTGGAGCTAAGTACTTTATTACCATAGTTGATGACTATAGCAGAGCAACATGAACACATTTGTTGCACACTAAAAGCTATGCATTTTCTGTGCTTAAAGCATTTATAACCATTGTGAAAACCCAATTTCAACTTTCTGTCCAAAAGATTAGAAGTGATAATGCTTTAGAGCTTGGATCTTCTACATCAGCCACCCAATTTTTTTCTCTGATAATGGGATAATCCATCAAACCACTTGTCCACACATATCACAACAGAATGGTGTGGTTGAGAGAAAACACAGACACCTACTTGAAACTTCAAGAGCTCTGCTGTTTCAATCCAATCTTCCTATCAAATTTTGGGGAGATTGTGTATTGACAACAACTTACCTTATTAATAGGTTTCCATCTTCAGTTTTATCCAAAAGAACCCCTTTTGAATTATTATATAGTCATCCTCCTTCTTATTCTCATTTAAGGCCTTTTGGTTGTCTATGTTATGTTACAGTCCCCAAGTGTCACAGGGATAAGTTTCACCCTAGAGCTTTTCCTTGTGTATTTGTTGGGTATCCTTTTGCCAAAAAGGGGTACAGGTTATAGAATTTGCAAACAAAGTCTGTTTTGTTTTCAAGAGATGTTGTGTTTCATGAATCTGTGTTTCCTTATAAGATTCCCTCTTCTGCTCCTACTCCTTCTTCTTCTCCTTCTTTTCCTTTGTTCTATGATACTTCTCCCTTTGTTCCTATCCCTCCTTCTACTACCTCCTCACCTTCTGGTGACTCTTTGCCTTCTTTTTCCTCACCTGATAATGTGTTACCCCCTCCTTCTAAGCTTAGGAAAAACACCAGATCCCATCATCTTCCTTCCCATCTCCAAGACTATGTTGCTAACCTTCCTCCTTCTATTTCTTGCTCCACCTCTACCTCTACTTCCACTACACAACTTGTTCCAGTGGAGCCTTATTCATACACTCAGGCTGCTGCCATTCCTGTTAGGCAAGATGCAATGAGACAAGAATTTACGGCTTTAGAGGCAAATCAAACTTGGAAAATTGTTGAGCTTCCTATTGGTAAGAAGCCCATAGGCAGTAAGTGGGTATATAAAATAAAATATAAGGCTTATGGTAGTGTGGAAAGATATAAGGCAAGATTAGTGGTTTGAGGTGATACTCAAGTAGAGGGGATTGATTTTAATGAAACCTTTTCTCCTGTGGTTAAAATGTGTACTGTCAGATGTTTAGTTGCTATTTCAGTTAAAAAATAGTGGCCTTTGTTTCAGTTAGATGTTAATAACGCTTTTTTACATGGGGACTGTCGCACCCCCTTTTTTTCCTCTTCGCGGGGAAGTCCGGGTTTCGACATTCATGGGGAACAACTCGTTTCCTTTTGGGAATTGGGTATTTGAAGAGTCGCCATCTAACGAATTAAGGTACGTTAGGGAACCTAGAGAAATTACCTCATGTAACCAGTTTGCATTACCAGAGATTAGGGTAAGGGCTCGAAATAACCTTAAGGAAAAGGTGTTAGGCACCCCTCGAGGTCCACAACGGTGGGTCCCGACCAAACTTACTTTGTGAATTAGTCAATTAGCAAATAGGTAGTCTAAGCACACATATGTAAAATGAATGAAGACTTTTTAAAGGATAAGCAGTCTAAGCACACATATGTAAAAGGAATGAAGACCTTTAACAGATAAGCAGTCTAAGCACACATNTATATTTACTCTGACATGTAGTTTGTTTGTAGATAAAATGTAGATAAAGTGTAGGACATTGATATACAACCAGAATTTGATAGAAAATGTAACAGCACAAACCTGCAACTGTATTCTCATTGGTGATACTCAATTCCATATTGAAATCGCGAACAGTTATACATAGCGGATATGATCCTAAGTTTTTGTTTTCCTTTTTCGTCTCCATGTATACACGAACACCCATATCGTTCCTAATTTCTATTGGAGGACAATGCTCGTTGACAATGTATTTAATTTCTATAATTTTTTCGGATGTATCGATCATTAATTGCTGTGCTATTGTAAAAATCAATAGACTATAACTCGCATCCTCATTGACTACAATGCCATCGACCTGAAATTCTCTAAATCTCCCATAGCTATCCCAATTCCCATTCAGTTGTAGCATAATTGGGATTTTGGACATAATTGCGTTTGTTGCAGAAGAATTGTAGAAGATTTATTAGCCATCTATCTTTAGATACGGAAGGCTTATGAGTCACAGAATTTTAAGCCCAAAAAACATAGTCATTTTTTATTTGTGAAATCAAAAAAAATGTTGAAACACAGTGTATCGCAAAAACAGAGTCGCTAAATTTTGAGTCGAAACAGCCGATAAATATTAATGCGTGATTTGCGTTGTAAAATATCTGGAAGAATATTTAATTCTCCAATATTAGCGCGCCTAGATAAGGAAGCCTACAGCTACAATGATTCCTTATTTAATGAGTTGTCTATATTTTGTAGAAATACTATTAGCATGGCGGGTGATATGCAAACTATGAACATATTTGGTAATATAGTTTCATATATGGAATAGGAACGAAAATTTCTCTATTATTAATACCTTATTTGATAGTAGTATTTTTCAACAATGTATGTATTAGTTATACACCATATGCAGTACCATTTTTGTACATAGCAAAGTAGCAAACTATAGCATTAGCGATACCATAGTATTTTACACGTGAATAAGCATGTATAAAGATAGAAATATCCTTTCGGAACCTTTTCAAATACAAAGCTAAAGAATATAGAGGGTATTTTTGTAAATAATTTTTAAAAAAAATTATACAATGCATATCAAACCAATTTTTATCATAAAAAATAATCTTAGCATAACTAAATTCAGCATTATTAATGTCAAGATTACTAAAACATACTTGTCACTATTATTCAAACGACAAATAAATTATAATGAGACAAAATGTCAAAAGATTTGCAACCACAAGGCTAATAAGAGATTCTAGAGAAAGAAGAGTGGCCCCAGTAAAGGGTACAAGTAATGGGAGCAGATGTGGATACGTGTTTGCTTACTGCATGTTCAAATTGGAGTGGAGCATGGCTGCAACGAACCTGTCCACTTCTGTAACATTCCGGCCACCGGAGTTCACCCTAAACTGCCATATTAAACCCGTCGTTTATCTTCCTGCTAAAAGAATACCCATTTCTATTTCTTACGCTACCAGCAGCGGCTCACCGGAAGCTGCCTCCTCATCAACTACCACAAAACCTGAAATTGAGCTTGAGTTCGTTGGGGTAAGTGCGAGAGGGTTACGTTCTCAATATTGTGATAATTGTTTTTTAAGTACTTTGTTTTGTTATTGATATCTGCTGGTGTTTTAATTATGGAGTAACTAATATGCAGCCAAAGCCAGATGAAAATGGGAATTTTCCAATGGATAAAGCAAAAGCAGTGAGTGGTGAAAAGCTCCTGAGGAACATCATGTCGGAGAATAAGATCGAGTTGTATGCTGCTTATGTGAGTAATATAATTGGCTTAAGTACCACTTATTAATTTTTTGTATTTTAGTAATTAACATCAAAATGACCAATCAGGACTATCAGTTCGAGGAAAGAAAAAAAGAAATGTCTGTGTAAAGTATTTAGTGAGAGTTTAAATGTGGGCAGTGAAGAGGATTGAAAATTTATTTAATTTGTTACAAGCTTTGTTCTTGTTTAGACAGGATTCAAACAACAATTGATTACCAATCGTCATCGTTAAAACTGTTTATAATGTGTTGTTGCTTTAGCAATATCATTAAAGATCATATTGCATAAGTAGGAACTACGATAATGTTGCAGCATAGATATCTGCACTGCTGGAAATCATTTGTGGGATGAAATTCGAACATATAGGAAAGTTAATGCAGTGAAATTTCAAACGAATCAAAGACTGCAGCTTTGTCAGTACTCTGTCTAGATGTTTTATTGTTGCACCTCATTTTGATCTTGAACACGACGTCTACTTTTTGGCAGGGAAAGGTGATGAATTGTGGAGGCGGTGGAAGCTGTGGTACTTGTATTGTGGAGGTATAAGTCTATGGTTCTCCACTATTCTTGGTAGTAATGGGTCGTAGGAATTTTTCTGTGGATGACATTCATATGTATATGGAAGTGAATTAGCTATCTAAATATTCAACAATATTATTTGCTGGTTATATTGTTTCCTTCTCAACCTTTTAAGCTTTTGTTCTTACATTATAGGTGAATGGTGCATTAGTTTATAGTGCTACACATTTTAATTATATTTTGGAGGAAATTTGGTCCTTCTATCACCATTTTGCATATCTGAATTATCAGATTGATAGCTTGCTGCTGAACCATTGGTAGTGAGCTTAACGTTGCGTAATGATGACCAAACTTTTTGCTTCTTTTATAAGCTGTTGCTGGCTAAACTTCTTAGTTTTGAAGATATTGACTACATTACTTCCCATATTTCTTCCTTGTGATGCAGATCTTAGATGGAAAGGATCTACTGAATGAAAGAACAAATACAGAACTCCGATACCTAAAGAAGGTATTGGGACATGCCTCTCTTATATGCTTTTAGCTTCTCTTATATTACTCCAGTCACATTCTTTTCACATTATTAAGGAGATTAAACTTTTCTTCACAAAATGTTGAATCACTCGATTTTGAACATCAAGTCTTTAAGGCTGTTTCAGAGAGAATATCAACTTTTTCGGGGACCAACTTGTTTCAGGCCGAGTAGACTTTTTTTTTGATCTTATGAAGATGGTTATGATGGTAGTTAGTTATCTTTCTTAATCTTCACAAAGACTTGCTCATTCAGTTTTCATAACTGTGCAGAAACCCGAGTCATGGAGATTGGCTTGCCAAACTATAGTTGGAAATAAGGAAAACTCTGGAAAGGTATCAGAATTATATTATGAACTTGTTTAGCTGCATTCCTTGGATTTCAATGTTTTCAAAATCATTCAACGTAAATTTATATGTATTCCAGATAATTATGAATTCTTTTGTAGAATAAAACTTAATACCTCTTCAATGCAAGAAAAATTCAAGTCAGACGTTATTATCACCTCAAGGTCCTAAACATGTGGGTAAATAACTAAAAATGAACAACTGTGACTGTCTGCACTTGTAGCGCTCTCTCATACAGTAGTATTTCGATGATATGTACAGGTAGTAGTGCAGAGGTTGCCTCAATGGAAGAAGTGACCGCATATGCATAATATTGAACAGGTAATTCAGCAAGAAATAGAAGAATATAGATGTGCTACTTTGAACAGAGTATAAATCACTTAAAACTAGAATGCTTCAGTAGCTAGAGAAATATGTATTTTATTCATTCACTAAGTGACAGCAAGTTTTTTCCTGCTCCGGCATTTTGCACTAGAAAGGATGTTTTCAAATTATAATGGTTGAACTCAGCAACAGGCCGCTGCAAAACATTCTTGGTTTACTTAGCTGTTTCCATCTCTAGAATGACACTGCTTTTCTCCTCCACTATTAACTACGTATTATATTCTTTAAATAAGAACCTTGTCTTCTTCAAAAATTGGTAAAAAGTCTATTATAATTTGAGACGAGTGTTTCTCTCATTTACAATGCCAGTCATTCATTCGTTTAAGAGTGTGTTTCAACTTTCAACACACCTCACATTCTTTACGTTATGTATTTCTTGTTTCCTCTATACTTATTCTGACATCATATCGATCCTTTAAACTGTGGAATAGAAATATGTATTCTTATTGTGCTGATTTTGGTGACGATCTATTCTCCACACCTTTAAATAGTGTAATGCAACCACAAACATCGTTATAGTTAGTCGTGGTTAAGTTTTCTTGCTGGAACAGAACTGATCTTGAGGTCCTGTGACTGTTCTACATTAAGCTGCTCTTTTGGTTTATGTTGTCACTCTGCCATTGTCATACTCGTCCCGCTTAATAGAGATGCAATAACATGTAGTGGATTTTCTATCAAATTTGGATCCAACTCAATTAGCACCTGCAAAACACTCATACATGTATACCCGTGAATGCAATACAGTATGGCAAATCCATGAGCTCCTTTCAAGTACATACCCATGATTGTGCACAAGATGCTATCCAACGCTGCCCAGTTTTGACTATAGTTGTGAACATAATTGAGTGACAGTGTTAATTGCATATGCAACATCTTGACAGGTTACTGTGATGCAGAGTAGTCAAACGGGCGGGGCGGGGCGGATATGAGCAGGTTGAAAATGCGTAATGCAAAAACAGATAAATTATCCGCCCCGATCCATATTTAATACGATAAAAAATGGGTTAACCGGCAGATAATATGGATATCCATATTATCCATATGGCATCTTAGATATGTTCACTTTTAGGAGAATTCCTTGTTTCTCAAACTTGAGGATACTTGATCACGTCCAACTATGCCTTGTAAAAAGGACTAAGCGGTCGTTGTAAATATAATCCGGTTTACAAGTCCGGAGTCGAATCACACAGAGAATTAAGGCTTAGCTACAGTTGTTGCCTATTACTAAAAAGACAAGCTCGAACAATTCCTAAGTTATAAATATTAAGATTCTTGTATCTAATTAACTAACAAACTAAATTAGTAGATTAACAACTAGGGATACTAAGGGTTGCAGGCAAGATTAAGGAGGTCTAGAGTTATGATTTTCCCAATTGTGGGAATTCTTTCCGCTATGTTTGCTATAAATTCGCCTAAGTATTCTCTACCGATCATGAGCGTTCTGAGTGTTGTAATTCTCTCCGGAGTAACTACCACAATTTACTAGACATATTCTCCCGAGTTACCCGAATCCCACCTTTAAACCCTCCGTATTGATCCCTCATATACGTTAGGAGTGATGTTGTTCAACAACTACCTAAATATGCACTCTCTCCCGAGTAATACACACTAAATAGGCACAGTCGATTGAGAGCTCTTCAACCAACCACAATATAAACGTAGTTGAACAAATAGAGAAAAAGCTACAGCAAATCTATATTAAAGTAACAGGAAAATCATCCTCCAATAGGTTCCATCAAAACCCTAGATAACAAATTAGCTATTCATAATAGTATGCAAAACTACAATACTAGAATTCATAATCAATAATGGAAAATAGGAAGAAGGAAGCGAAAAACTCGTAGAAGAATTCTCCACCTTGCTCCTAGTGTGTTCTTGCCTCTTTAGGTCAAATCACCTCTCAAATCTGTCCAATCTCTGGTCTCTCGTCTCGATCTCTCTAAAGTATGTCAAAAGTGACGTTTCTAGGTCTATTCATATGTGTAGGACAAGACCTAAACGTGTAGGCCAAGTCCTAGTCAAACCAGGAGACGAATAAAGTTTTCAAAACTCGGACTGGACCTGGCCTTAGGCTGGCCTCGTCAGGCTAAAGCCTGGTTTAGCCTGGCCTTAGGCTGGCCTCGCCAGGCTAAAGCCTGGTTGAGCTGGCTTTTGCCTGGCCTCTCCCTTTCACTGTTCTCGCGCACACGTTTAACGTTTAAGTATCCATTTTGCTCTACTTTCATCTCCAATTCACCTACACATAAAATAGACTCCATTACGCGCAAATAAAGTGTAATTTATCATTAAAGCGTGTAAAATGCAAGGCATATAATGTACGAAACTATGGAATTATAGCCACACATCAATACTCCAATTTAAGGCTTTACAATGTAAAAGTTAAACCCATTAGTTATCCATTTTCTAAGTGGATAATATGGTTCTTGATGTTTTATACGTCAATACCACACAAGAGGGAGGTGATTTGTGTGGTACCCAATTTTTCGCTTAAACTGCTTCTGGAAGGACCTGGTTCTTTTAGGTGTTCCAACTACTGCTGTTTGCGGAATAATAAATACAGAAAATAAAGAATACAGAGATTTTTACGTGGAAAACACCTGGCTCAAAAGGTGAAAAAACCACGACCTACTACTCAGTAGGATTTTCCCAAACTTCCACTAAAATCACTGAGCCAAAACAGCATTTACAAAACTCTTGTAAACCTAAGGATTAACTCTAATCCCGTTGTAGCAACCAGCCTCTAACTGCTGCGACAACTTCAAGTTAACTCTAACTTGAATACTCAAAATACATATTACAATTGCTTCTAGATAAAGCTGAAAGGTACAATATGAAACACCTACTACAATTGAACTAGAAATAAAGAAAGACACATAAAACTCTTTATGGAGCTGGTTCTTCAATCTGGTTCATGTAGCTTCAGGTTTGCACACTTGAATCACACACGAACTGCTTGCAAAAAGCCTTGCTATTTTGCTCTCAATTCACATTTAACTTTTGCGTTTTTGTGCAACACTTTAATGTGAGAACATCCTGCAATTTATANTGATCAGTCTTCCCACACTTGTAACACCCCTCATTGGTTTGCTTTTTAGGAACCCTTGGTTTGTTGTAGCTTCCACTTCTTGAAGGACCATTTCCTCTCATTAGGTACTTCTTGAAATCCTTTGAGATCATGGTCATTTCATCCTCCTCTAGATCAGCACCTTTAGTGATTCTGAATGCCATGCTCCTTTCCTTCTTGGGTGCATCCATCTTCATGGTTTGCTTTCTAAGTTCATAGGCAGTGAGATTTCCAATTAGCTCATCCAACTTAAGAGTGGCAATGTTCTTTGATTCCTGAATAGCAGTGATTTTGCTTTCCCAAGAGACTGGCAGAACCCTTGTCAAAATTTTCTCAACTTTGTCCTCTTCAAGAATAACTCTTCCAAGAGACTTAAGTTCATTTGTTAGTGTTGTAAACCTTGTATACATCTCTTGGATGGCTTCACCTTCCTTCATGGTGAAGTTCTCATATTGAGAATACAGCAGTGTTCCTCTGGACCTCTTTACTTGTGGTGTTCCTTCATGTGCAACTTGCAAAGTATCCCAGATTTTCTTAGCAGTGGTACAACTTTGAATTTTACTGTACTCATCTTGACCAAGTCCACACACAAGCCATTTCTTGGCCTTAGCATTTTTCTCCCATTTTCTTAAATCCTCAGCAGTGCAGTCAGCTCTAGTTTTTGGCACCTCTACTCCTTCAGCATTCTTCTTTGTGGTAGCCAGGGGTCCATCAGTGATAATGTCCCATAGCTCATAGTCTTCTCCGATGATATGATCTCTCATCCTATTTTTCCACAAAAAGTAGTACTGGCCATTAAAGAGTGGAGGCCTAGCGGTGGATTGTCCTTTCCAGTTTCCAGGCGGTGCACTCATCTTGATCTTGTCCTAAGGTGTTAGCCTCTTCAAGGATAACCTGCTCTAATACCAATTGATATTTTATACGTCAATACCACACAAGAGGGGGGTGATTTGTGTGGTACCCAATTTTTCGCTTAAACTGCTTCTGGAAGGACCTGGTTCTTCTAGGTGTTCCAACTACTGCTGTTTGCGGAATAATAAATACAGAAAATAAAGAATACAGAGATTTTTACGTGGAAAACACCTGGCTCAAAAGGTGAAAAAATCACGACCTACTACTCAGTAGGATTTTTCCAAACTTCCACTAAAATCACTGAGCCAAAACAGCATTTACAAAACTCTTGTAAACCTAAGGATTAACTCTAATCCCGTTGTAGCAACCAGCCTCTAACTGCTGCGACAACTTCAAGTTAACTCTAACTTGAATACTCAAAATACCTATTACAATTGCTTTTAGATAAAGCTGAAAGGTACAATATGAAACACCTACTACAATTGAACTAGAAATAAAGAAAGACACATAAAACTCTTTATGGAGCTGGTTCTTCAATCTGGTTCATGTAGCTTCAGGTTTGCACACTTGAATCACACACAAACTGCTTGCAAAAAGCCTTGCTATTTTGCTCTCAATTCACGTTTAACTTTTGCGTTTTTGCGCAACACTTTAATGTGATAACATCCTGCAATTTATAGAGTTAGTAGATGAAGAAATAACTAGAGTTCTGATGCAACTCTTCCTTGGTGGAAGAGTTCTAGTTGATTTCAACTTCTAACTCCTTCCCTGTCTTGGATAGTGATCTCTTCGATTAAGGAGTCATTTTCCTTATCAATTATGCAACCTTTTCGATCAGGAGATATTAAATACACCAAGTTAAGCTTATCTCCTTCACGTGCATCCCACATGCTCGAATCTGCCCGTTTTTGTGCACCTGAGTGATGGACCTGGTTCATCCTGAGTTCCTTTGTCAGTCTTCAAAACTAACCTTTACTTGGGCCAACAGTTCTTATCCATATTTGTTCCGTTTTTAAAAAGTTCATTATCCAGTCCATTTTTTGATGGATAATATGGATGGATAACTATTTTTTATTTTAACCATTTTGCCACCCCTGCTGTGAGGTAGTTCAATCTCCTGACTTACCTCTGTATATACCTTTTCCGTATCATTAAAAGGATCCGTCACGATGCAGGTTAAACTACTTAAATTGATAGCCCGTTTGGCTAAGCTGCCAAAAATTGCTTATTTCGAAAAGTTCTTTTTGAAAAAGTACTTTTGCAAAATAGCAGTTGTGTTTGGC